ATTATCCCACGCGCATCCCAAAAAACCGACGCCATAACCTTGCCTGCAGATGAAACGGTCTTCACCTTCTTTGGAGCCGGTTGTCCCTTTTGAGTCCATTGTTTTGATTGTTTTTTTGTCTCGCGTGTGAAGTGATGGACCCATGTTTCATGCATGGTTATGAAACGACGCAAAAATTCTGCCTTATTGCTGTGAAACTTTGCTAAACACTCAATTCAAACATCTTCACGACACTGTTTTTGCACGATTGTGAGCAATCGCGGCACCCATCTTGCACACAGCTTTCTCATGTCCAAATTTTCAGATAGTATGCAATAAATCACACTATGTCTGCTACCTCGCGCACTTTCAGTCGACGATCATTCAGTACCGTGAATTTTCGTCACCATTTCTGGAGTCGTCACCCCATTTGGTCGACCACTGTCTTGGCAGCTCATACGGCCTCGTTTAAACTCTGCTACCCAATATTTTACTGTTGTAAACGAAGGAGCAGACTCACCCAGTGTAAAATCCAGTTCAGCTTTTATATTGGTTGGGCTGAGGCCTTTGAAATAAAAGGATTGTAAAACATAACGATGACCAATTTTCTCAATTTTCACAAATTCACTGAAAACGTTCAGTATTGATGGCTGCCAAACAAATACTAAACAACGTGGCGTCTTCAAACTTATAGGTTGCATACTTTCTAATACAATGATATTTTTCAAACAGCTATCGCCATCTCTAGGTCAGGCCGGGTACTTCTGGGACCACCCTCGTATATAATAAAAAAAAATTCTGATTCCACAATAATGGTGCACAGGATGTCCATAGCAATTAAAATTGGAAAGATTTTCCTGTTATTTAGCGATTTTCGGCACCAAATCCGCATTTGCGAAACAGACCATCTGTTCAGATAATTGCAAAATGGCGATATTTTTTTCCACACTTGTTGCGGGGCTCTTGCGCTTCTAAACGCCAGTTGGCATGGTACGATTTTCACATACTTCGTGACAGTGACAACTGACTTGACACTTGTCCACAAATTCCATTGCTACAAAGGTTATAAAATGATAAACCAGGACAAAGGAAGGATCACCAGGTGAAAACCAGAGATACAGTACTCTCTAAATATCGAGAACTCAATCAACACTGGAAAGGGTATACAGCATATTATTTCTAACCATAACACCTTATAGCTTTGGTGGAAATCATAGGAACAGGTCCGCAGGTCCATAAAACATTTATAAAATAGTTGTTTGCGAAAGTATATCGATATCACCAGATCTGTTAGATTTGTTGCCCATATTTCGACTTGAGACAACGGATCTGTCACAAAACTTTATTTCCTGAGAAAAGTATCTCTTTAGAAAAAAAAAACGTGCGTTTGAGTTGCCTGTCACTTTAAAATTTCTGGCTGTACTATGAATAATCAATTTTGAACTCGTGACATTGTATGAATTAAAGAAACTTCACTGGTACGCCCATGGTAGATGTCCACAGCTGAGTTCCAGTCTCTGAAATACGCCACCAGAAATGTCGGATAAAATATGTGAGGCATCCTTGTTTGTGAAAGGTGTTCCCATACTTTTTGGTACTTTTTTCATCAATTCGCTGAACTTGAAATTGATTGGAATACCTATCAAATTGTTAAGTACCTCCGAGAAAGAAACTATGCCGACCGACGCCGCGACGAAGAGTCGAACCACCGAAGTCGCTTCACTTGAATTGTTAACAGCATAAATGCAGCTTGTCGGCAACGACGGACGTTAACGCTACTTGTGCTCAAATAATTTTCACATTTACAGACAATCGTTTAACGGAGGCCGACAACTTAAGTGTATGTTTCACGTTTCTTCTAATTTGTACACTGAACATTTATTTTTGATATTGCAACTGCCCTCAAATAGTACGTCACATACTCCTATCTAGGTTAAGACGGCTCCGACTCAGTGAGTTTCAAGCCATTTACAAGGGGTTCAGCTGCTTCGAAACTGATACTCTGTTTTTCAATATTTTTGAATGAAATTCGTACAGTATGTTGAAAAGATAATTGCCCAGGGTGCTATGGGAGCACTTTTTGAAATTTTGTTTTTGCACAAGTTTTATGATGGGTTGAAGTGCGCGATTTTTTTGTTCAACTTTGCGATTTTTTTAAAAAGAACCTAGTGAAAAAAATGAAAAAGTGGCTCTATAGCATCTTGTGGGGTTAAGTTTTAAGCACACTGTGAAAATTTCATCCAAAAACATCAAAAAATAAAGCGTCAATTTCGAAGCGCGCAAACCTCTACAAATCGTATTTTGGACGAATTTTGTCTACTGTTTCGTGCTGTCAACCCAAGTGTTGCCGCGCAATGTACGGGCTAAATGAAGCATAATAGGTAAATGATAAAAATTTCAAAATGATTGCACTACTTTAAAGCCCTTTGACCTTTAATAATGTGTGGATGCACCCTGATGTGCTACGCATTTTCCAACGCGCCTAGCCATGCTTCTGATCAGGTGGTCAATGTCCTCCTGTGGTATCTCATTCCAGGCAACCACCTCCTCTCGAAGTGCTTCTACAGTCTGAGGAGGACGTTGCAAATTGAGCAATCTCCTACCCATCATATCCCACACGTCCTCAATTGGGGATAAGTCGGGAGATCTTGGTGGCCATGGTAACAATGTGACATCATTATGTTGAAAGAAGTCTATTGTGACTCTTGCAACATGTGGTCGGGCATTATCTTGTTGGAAAGTTGGATCTGCCAGGGTGTCAAGATAGGGTAAAAGATGGGGTTCTAGAACTTCGTGGATATAACGTTGCGCGTTCATGTTACCTCTGATGAAGATTAAAGGTAACCTGGAACCATAAGCTATAGCACCCCAAACATTAAACTCCAACAGTGTGATGAACATGTCTTTCAACAAAAAACTGTGGATTCCTCCTTTCACCACGTCGCCTTCTAACCCTGGCACGACCATCGTGCATGCGTAAACAAAATCGAGACTCGTCACTAAAGACAATACTGTTCCATTCCTGATCCCAGAGTGACCGTTGTCTGCACCACTCAAGGCGATTACGTCGGTGTTCTCGAGTTAAATGGGACCCAGTGTGGCCGGTATGAAAACAAGCCAAAACTTCTCATTCGTCGGTAAACACTTCGCATGCCCATAGGTCTTCCGTGTTCTGCAAACCATTTATTTGCAATGGACCTGGTAGTGGAGAAATGGTCTCTTAAGGCCAATAATCTTAGGCGGCGATCTTCACGGTCTGTTGTTCTACGGCGGCGTCCAGTGCCCCTTGCCCTTTGCGTACGGCCTTCTCGAAGCCATGCCTGACAACACCTAACCACAGTGTCTACACTTCTTTGCACTCTAACTGCAATTGCCCGAATAGAAAGTCCAGCTTCCCGAAGTCCCACTATACGGCCCCTATCAAGCTCACTAAGTTGACGAAATCGTACAGGTCTCCGTACTCTAAGCATCGTAACCGATCGTAAAGGATGTCAAGAACAAAAATCCGCCAACGTTGATTCTTTACTGCGGCTGAAATATTCATTTTTAGAGCGTTAGTGAATTAAAAAAAAGCATTTTATGTCACTTAGTATACAAAAACGACCTTGTGCAGTGAAATATTGGAACACGATTTCGGTACCTTCCAATTTTTTATAGTCTATAAGTTTGGTTATATACCCGCCCGTCACACGTTATAACGAAAAATATGAATCATAAATGCGATAGAAATCTCAAACGGCATGTCCTTTCTCAATTTTCTCCGAAAATACAAAATTTATCTCGAGTCTACTCATACCGAAATGCCGCTTTATAAACCTTCATTCATAATAATTTCGTGTGTTGTGAGTTCCTTCTTTTGGGACCCAATGCTCAGTGGGTTCCGTCTGTGAAATATTGCGTATCTACAATCACAATTAGGCACTGATTTATGTGAAAGATTAAGAACAAGTGTTAGTATTTTTTATTTACTGAACGCGTGATGGTAGTTACAAATTATTTGTAATAATTTTTGGTGTCTTGTTATCCGTTTGCTTCCAAGATGTTTTTAATGTGATGTCCATTAATAACGATGAGAGTCTGACTCAGTTGTCTAAACAAACGTCTTGCTTCTATACCGGATGTCAATAGAAGGTGGCTCACCTTTACAATTTTTCTATTTTTAAAGATACAAAAATGGAATTTGGTATATAGGTATAGATTTCTTAGCTTTTGGGAGTCTCGGGGCCACACATGTGGCAACCGCTTTTAGTTTTACCGTATCTTACGCCCAAATATCTGTACAGCTAAAATATTTAGAAATATTTGTCACTCTAAAGTAACTTTATCATGGTGCCTCTGATCCCGGCTGGATAAAGTCTATTTCAGCAGAGAGTGGTCTAGGTCTGTCACAATTGACAGCTCACAGTAGGTACATGAAACACCCTAAACATAACTGAGTTATTATGTTATTAGCTTGTTACCATGTTACGGATGGTCGTTTTTGAACGTATGTACGTCGCATTACCTGTTATTAAAAGCAATTACTTTTGTTATAATGGAAATTTTCGTTTAGTTGACACATACATTGCGTACAATTTGTGTAGTTGTGTACAACCTATCGTTCACTATTGCAGAGCGTTAGTAGTATGTTGTTGCAACTTGCTTTGAACATCTACGAGTAGTATTTACCAGACAAGACCGGAACATAATTACATGATCAAACGAACTTACCTGTGAGTGATGTTCGATCCTAATCATGTGAAGGTCTCGCCAAAGTAAATAGCTCCGCTCTCCCTATGTATCACCCAATTGTTGTAACAACTTGGCTTTGAGGAAAATGAGAGTTTTTAGGCGGTCAGGAGGAGGAATGTAGGGGCGCGCTGACCGCCTTCCTTCGCTGCGTGCGCGTTTTGAACTCGTGGGTTTGGTGAGATACGAGGGTACTACGAGTAGTATTTACGAGACGAGACCTCCGCTTAATTAGGATCGAGCATCACTTACAGGTACGTTCGTTTAACCATGTAATTATTGTTTAGTTATTTGACGTTAGCCAATCTTCATTTTCACTTATTCCTCTTCCATAAAAGGTAAAGCTACAGTATTTTTTTACTATGAGTGTTATAAGAAACGAAAAAGTTGATATGCTGTTACCTTCGGTGAATGCAGAAAAAATTCTAATAGAAGACATCAAAGTTATTCAAACTTTTAGTTAGTGGCAAAGCTTAGAAATGAGGATTTCAATAGTGATAAATGTTTTGTTTACTAGGCAAATGGAACAAACAACAAATACAAATCGTGAGTTACCCAGGCAGATTTTGAAGAAACATGGATTCCGCTCATATAAATATCAGTTACACCATCATTTATATGATGATGATTTTTTAAGGAGATTCTGGGAACGCTGGCTAGGACTTTTTCATTTGGGCCTACTTGAAGGAGAAGGCTTATGTCACGCCTCCTATAAATCTGTACAGATTTAGAACAGCGAATAAAGGCAGCAATTAACACCTTATCTGGAGATTTTTAAGCAATGGACAGGCAGAAACCATAAGAAGGGTCAATAAATGCTACGAAAATGATGGGGGACGCATTGAACTTGTTTAACAGATTTTAGTTCTCAATGTTGTAATATATTTTTATGATTAAAGTAGTTGGGGAAAATTAGTGGAATACGGTAGAAGAGGATAATTTCAGTTTGTATTAATCAAAGGTAGTTATTTGACAGTCTGTTATTATAAAATAAAAAACAAAAACGTGTTTTTTATTACTTTGCCTGAAATGATATTTTTTATTTTGATAATATCGCCACATTAACAGTTTAAAATATTTGTTTGTCTTATAAGCAATATGGTGAATTTTAGGTTATTAATAAATTCCTTTATCTCGCTGCCATTTTAAAATGAAAATGTCACGTGTGGCACATCGCTGGAAAGGTAATTTTCCATGGAGTACGATTAGGGAAAAAATACATGCTTTTATTTAAAAACGAAAGTCAAGGTGACATCCGGTTAAACTTAAAGGGAGAGATAACCTCATTCAATTATCATTGTCACCCGGTATGTGATGAATTCATTATTTCTGCGTGTTCTTTTTTCTGTTACTTTGCTGTAGAAAAAAACTTCCTCAAACGTTATAGTACCTATCTAATGATTGCCTGGTATGTAATCATCTAGTTAAAAGGTTAAAATTGGCTATTAATTAGGCCAATTTTCACCGGACACATTCCAGTTAAGTAAGCGAGTGTGTGGCAAGGAATCATGAGCTAGCGCGCCAAGTGTGAGAGCCCAAGCAAACTGGTACTAAAATCGCGTAATAATAGTACGCCTTCTACTCAGGTGGCTGCTTCTTGGCTTTATACCCGCCTCTTTCCTTCTTCATAATTGTACATTACGTAATGAACTTCCCCGCCTATCGATGAAACGTGCCATTAACAGCCAGGACGGTACTCAACGATATTTAAACATGGTGCTTTTGTCCATCCGACCTCCGATCGCTAACCATGGAGCTGTCCGCGGTTGTTCATGCAAGTTATAAAATATTTATTATTTGAATTCAAAAGCCACACAAATTCAAACTTTTTGGCACGTGCGCATACAAGTGAAACATGCGCATAAGAGGACAAAGCATTCCAGTAGTCAATTCGGTAAGACGGAAAAGGCAACATGCGTTTTTTTAAAGCTCTATCAATAATCTTAGATGAACCCGTTACAAAACTCATACAGGGTGGCGCATCGAAAAAGAAACAGACGCATTTACTGGAAGCTCAGTTTTTTTTTGAAAAACGTTCAGATCCGTCGATTTTGTTTTCGAGGGGGACACAAGTTTGGCAAAAAATCACGTTAGCACGTGCAACCTCCTAAGCGGGGGTGACACCACCCCCAAAATCTTAAATGGAAAGGGGGGTCGAGTGATACCTTATTTTAAAGGTCTTTCAATTCCCTTTATAATAATATAAAATTAGTGTACTTCAGTTCCGTAGTTTTGAAGATATACTAAGTGACATATAAATCCGAACACCCAGTTTAAATGTTTTTATTTTAATAAAAGTTGGTGAATGTATTTATCTTACTGTAAATAACAAGTGAAAAAATTTTCAGCCTTATCAGTTGGACATTCCGGTTTTTATACTGCTTTTTTTAATTCACTAACGCTCTAAAAATGAATATTTCAGCCGCAGTAAAGAATCAACGTTGGCGGATTTTGGTTCTTGACATCCTTTACGATCGGTTACGATGCCTAGAGTACGGAGACCTGTACGATTTCGTCAACTTAGTGAGTTTGATAGGGGTCGTATAGTGGGACTTCGGGAAGCTGGACTTTCTTTTCGGGCAATTGCAGTTAGAGTGCAAAGAAGTGTAGACACTGTGATTAGGTGTTGTCAGGTATGGCTTCGAGAAGGCCGTACGCAAAGAGCAAGGGGCACTGGACGCCGCCGTAGAACAACAGACCGTAAAGATCGCCGCCTAAGATTATTGGCCTTGAGGGACCGTTTCTCCACTACCAGGTCCATTGCAAATGAATGGTTTGCAGAACACGGAAGACCTATTCGCATGCGAAGTGTTTACCGACGAATGAGAAGTTTTGGCTTGTTTTCATACCGGCCACACTGGGTCCTCCCTTTAACTCGAGAACACCGACGTAATCGCCTTGAGTGATGCAGACAACGGTCACTCTGGGATCAGGAATGGAACAGTATTGTCTTTAGTGACGAGTCTCGATTTTGTTTAGGCATGCACGATGGTCGTGCCAGGGTTAGAAGGCGACGTGGTGAAAGGAGGAATCCACAGTTTTTTGTTGAAAGACATGTTCATCACACTGTTGGAGTTATAGTTTAGGGTGCTATAGCTTATGGTTCCAGGTCACCTTTAATCTTCATCAGAGGTAACATGAACGCGCAGCGTTATATCCACGAAGTTCTAGAACCCCATCTTTTACCCTATCTGGACACCCTGGCAGATCCAACTTGCCAACAAGATAATGCCCGACCACATGTTGCAAGAGTCACAATAGACTTCTTTCAACATAATGATGTCACATTGTTACCATGGCCACCAAGATCTCCCGACTTATCCCCAATTGAGCACGTGTGGGATATGATGGGTAGGAGATTGCTCAATTTGCAACGTCCTCCTCAGACTCTAGAAGCACTTCGAGAGGAGTTGGTGGTTGCCTGGAATGAGATACTACAGGAGGACATTGACCACCTGATCAGAAGCATGCCTAAGCGCGTTGGAGAATGCGTAGCACATCAGGGTGCATCCACACATTATTAAAGGTCAAAGGGCTTTAAAGCAGTGCAATCATTTTGAAATTTTTATCATTTACTTATTATGCTTCATTAAGTACTTATACAAAATTTTATTAAAATAAAACCATTTAAACTGGGTGTTCGGATTTATATGTCACTTAGTATATTTGACGCTTCAAATTTCTCGCACTATTTTCCTTTTTGTCTGTTTAAATTCCAATTAGCTCTGTTTTGCGTTATGCTAATGATAGCAAATCAAGCCGACGCACAGCAAGGTCTCCCAAGGTTCGTGGTGTTACGTGACAAGAGTATAAAAATGATATTTTAATATTCTTCTCGATACGCAACCGAATACGCGTATGTACATTTCTTCCTTATTGTTATGCAGGGTTTCGCTGAGAAGGTCATTGCTTGCTCAAGAGAAGCACGCAAATATTCCTGTATCGGAATCAGTATAGATTTGTTGTAATAAAAGCGGTTCTCCGAATTCGAACAGATCCTATATGTTTACATTATATTCGTCGCCAAAATTGAGCAATTTTAGTGCATACTTTTGACTCATTTAACTCCATTGCCTACCGAAACGACAACGTTGTATCGGAATAATAATAATAATACCTACCGGTGAAAGTATCTAACGTCATTAGGCTTGTGCAAATTATGCAAAAAGTACCAAATCCTAAATTCACCACAATTACTTGCAAACACTCATACTTACAAAAAATCTACAGATGCAAATTTAATAACTGAACTGTCAAAAAGTCAATTTATGTCAAGCTCACTTGTTGTTCTTTCGTCCTGACTACACGCCGAGACTTTGAAGACAAACAAAGAATCAACCTTCTACTTAGTCTGAATTCGCCAGGTCTTGCTAAAGTCAGCTTTTAGCTCTAACCGCAGCATCCATGTTTTTATTGTACTAGATACTCTTAAAATCAACAACATTGGACAGATAGTTGCGCTAAGTTGAAGAATCTCTCCGCTTAAAGCCGCATATAGACGTCGCGACGCGAGCGTCGCTTATGGTTCGTCTTGCATAAGTGACGCCTCCGGTTCTTCAACTATAATGCGGGTGCAAAGTGAAGACGCCTTATTTCTAACTTTACATCTTAAAGCGAAAACTTCAAATTAAATAAATGACAACTGACAGTAAAGTATGTAAACAAACTTTTGTTCCCAAAGGCAACATGATAGAATTTTGTGTTTTTTAAGATTAAGGTCAATGAATTTTGTGACAAAACTCTTAGGACATACGTTACCCTTGAGAGACCACATCCGCTGGCCTGAGGAGCCAGACTGACGTTGGCGTCAAATGATTGTGGCTATAGCAAAAATAAACAATAATCAGTCGGTATGTATAACGTGAATATAACACAATGTATTTAATTGCAAAGTAGGTACTTGGTCGGTCAGCATCAAATCTCGAGAGATGGGTAAATAGACGGTTGAACAGACCGTGAAGATTGAAGAACATCGTCGGGTGAGGTTTGCGGTCGGCCGGAGGAAGAAGACTCGTGTAAATAAACGATTTTCGAAAAAGCAAGTCATGTGCGTGGGATGGGTCGAGAGCCAACCAAGAGAGACGGGATGGAAAGAAGCTCCCTGATGATGTGCATAATCAACAGCAGTTATTTTTTCTACTTTTTATAATCGGCAATTATACGATCAATTGTTTAGAGAGTACATACTTCTCACGTAGGACTTAGCAGTACGGATTCGCCGGGAGCGAAGTGCATAGTAGGGGAACCTTTTTTCCTTTTTCTCTCCAGCTCACGAGAAGGCCGTACGCAAAGAGCAAGGGGCACTGGACGCCGCCGTAGAACAACAGACTGTGAAGATCGCCGCCTAAGATTATTGGCCTTAAGGGACCGTTTCTCCACTACCAGGTCCATTGCAAATGAATGGTTTGCAGAACACGGAAGATCTATTGGCATGCGAAGTGTTTACCGACGAATGAGAAGTTTTGGCTTGTTTTCATACCGGCCACGCTGGGTCCTCCCTTTAACTCGAGAACACCGACGTAATCGCCTTGAGTGGTGCAGACAACGGTCACTCTGGGATCAGGAATGGAATAGTATTGTCTTTAGTGACGAGTCTCGATTTTGTTTAGGCATGCACGATGGTCGAGGGTTCGAAGGCGACGTGGTGAAAGGAGGAATCCACAGTTTTTTGTTGAAAGACATGTTTATCACACTGTTGGAGTTTTGGTTTGGGGTGCTATAGCTTATGGTTCCAGGTCACCTTTAATCTTCATCAGAGGTAACATGAACGCACAGCGTTATATCCACGAAGTTCTAGAACCCCATCTTTTACCCTATCTTGACACCCTGGCAGATCCAACTTTGCAACAAGATAATGCCCGACCACATGTTGCAAGAGTCACAATAGACTTCTTTCAACATAATGATGTCACATTGTTACCATGGCCACCAAGATCTCCCGACTTATCCCCAATTGAGCACGTGTGGGATATGA